CTTTCTGGAAGATGGTATTGGAAAGATTGTGCAGGATAACTTTATTATTGGCAAAAAATTCATTGCCATTTCGAGGTCATCAAGAAAGTCTTGAAAGTGAATAAAATGGAAATTTTTTATCCCAAGTTAAATTCCTAGGCAATTATGATGATATTATGAAGCAAGTTCTGGATATGCCTTTAGGTTCTATAAGATATCTAAGTCCTTTAAATTCAAAACGAAATAATAGAATGTCTTTCTCAAAAATTGCTATCCGATCTAACAAAAAATATAAATTCTTCTCCATTTTTCTCTATATTGTCAGACACGACACAAGACATTGCTAAAAATGATCAGTTAAGTATTGTAATTAGGACGGCAAATGTCACACGAGATGTTAAACAAATTCCAGTAGTTTTCGAAATAAAAGAGACATTTTTGGGTTTTTATCAATTACAAAATCAAACAGCTCAAGGCATGGTCGACGAAACGTTAGCAAAATTAGATTCGTTAAATATTCCCAGATAACAATCGTGCGTCGCATTTAAACGCATGTTTCTTGCACTAACTGCGACTTACCAGATGAGTCGGTTCATATACGCATCTTACTATCGTCTGTGACGCTGGTAATAATGCGAGTGTTGTGAACTGCATTTCGTAAGCGCCTGTGATACAAAATGATAAGCATGTTCCGTTCACAAGTGCGACTTGCTAGAAGAGTCAATCCATACGCATTTTACCATCCACAGTGCGAATGCTGTGAATGCGTGTGCAGTGAACTGCACTTAATACGCACGCAATTAATGATGCGCAACCACCCGTATCGGCAATCACACATTTTATAATGGCGACAGCATTGTTTGTGGTGTGTTATCAAAATAAGTTTTTATTGTGATTTCATTTTTTATTGTTTTTTATTGCGATATTATTGTGAGGAATTATTGTGGATTTAATTTTTAGTACTGCAGCAAAATAAGAAAGTTAAATTTAATTTGTTTAAAGTACATATATATTTTTGTTGTATTAGATATAACCTCAAAAAAAGAATTTGGAAGTTTTTAACAATTTCAATTCCAAAATTGTACTGAAATATTAAATTAAAATCGTTTTTATAAATAACATTTTAATTGAAAAAAATTACTAATGTCAATAATCTTTTCTTTTTATTTAATTCAAATTAGGCTGAAGTATAAATATAATTTATTCGCATTATACCGTCACGCATGTGCCCATCACAATATGCGACAGTTATGGATCGCATATGATGACGCATCTGAGTGGTCCAGTGAACGCGCATAGTGCGGATAAATCGGCACGCTTGCAGATGATATTAGTAGCACACAACGCGCATTTTGTTATCTGGGTTTCTTTGAAAAAATGCTATGGTCAAGGATACGATGGTGCTAGTGTAATGAGCGGTGCCTATAACGGGGTTAAAACAAAAATTCAAAACATTCAGTCTAACGCAGAATATGTTCATTGCGCAAGTCACAACGTAAACTTGGTTGTAAATGATGCTGTTGGTGGATGTACTCAAATATCTAATTTTTTTGATATTATTCAAAATATTTATAGATTTTTTGGATTGAGTATTAAACGATGGGATTTATTGGCATCATTTACGGCAGAGTCAGAAGTTACATTAAAAAAATTAAATCCCACTCGATGGTCTGGAAGAATTTCATCAATTGCAGCAATTAGATATCGCTTTTTTGATATTCTAAAAGCACTGACCAAAATTCAATTTGAATCTGATAAAAGTAATGAAAGAAACGAAGCTCTAGCTTTAAAAAATAAAATTTCGAATTTCGAATTTATTTTTATAACGGTTTTGATGTTCAAGATTTTAAGTGAAACTAACTATGCGTCAAAAGTATTACAAAAAAAGATATAGATCTTCACGAATCTGTAATAGTTTTAGATAAAGTAAAAGGTAACCTTGCAAACTTCAGAAATTGTTATGAAGAAATTAAAATTGAAGCAGAAAACTTGGCAAAAAAATTCAACATTGATTACAAATTTAAAACAAAACGTCAACCAAAAATCAAAAAGCATTTTGATGAGATAACTAGGGACCACAGATTTGATAATGCTGAGGAAATGATTAGAATTAATGTCTTTTTGTACGTTATAGATCAAGTAACTGGCCAGATTGAAAAAAGATTTGAAGGAATGAAAATTGTGTGTGAGCATTTTGACTTTCTAGATCCTAAAATAATTAGAAGCACTAGTACTGCAGATCTCGTAAAAAAATGCAACAAATTTTACAACAAATATTCTGAAGTAATCGAGTACTCTATTTTGACTGAATATGAGCATCTTCTGACTCTACTGGAAAGCGATAATTTAAATATCTCAACAAAAGAACTCTTTCAAATCATAATTGAGAAATATGCAGTGCTCGAATGTGATTTCAGCCAGATTTACTTAACTTTTTTACTGTTGTTCACATTGCCAGTAACGGTGGCAAGTGTTGAAAGGTCATTCAGTAAACTAAAATTGATCAAAAACTACTTGAGATCACAAATTGGTCAAAGCAGACTCAGTAGTTTAGCTCTACTTTCCATTGAAGCAGAAACTGCTTCTAAAATGGAATTTACTGATGTAGTAAATGACTTCGCCAATAAGAAAGCAAGAAAACGAAATTTTTAATCTTTAAAGACATAAAGAAATTTATTATTGATATTTAATATGAACATATTTGAACCTAAGAATTTTATGTTTTAATAAATTCCAAAGATAAAACTTTTACTTTAATTTGTATTGTAATAATTCTATTGTCAAATTGTTCCTCATTATATTAAAATTTTTATGTATGACTGAGTAAATATGCTTGAGGCTTGTTATCTAGTCTTAACTATTCTTGCATAAATGTTTCTTACGACTATAAAAACTTATTAAATGTTTTGAAAGAGAATCAGGAGAAATTTTGTTATTTTTTAAGGTATTTTCAATTTTAATCCATTTTCATTTCTACTAGTGGGCCCCGAGGCTTTAATTGCCCCAGGGCCCCGACCTCTCTTGTTACGCTACTGTGTGAGGCGTTTCGTAGAACGCGAGCACCTTGCACGTGATTTTTGAAAATTTTGTACAACTCATTAAACGCGTCGGCCCACTCCAAAACTTTTTGGAAAATCTTTTGTATATTATAAGGTATAAATAAATTTAGAAAAAATGGTTCAAAGTTAAAAAAAATTAATTTGTTTATAAAAAAAAATTTTTTTTTAATAAAAAATTTTTAAAAAAAATTTTTTTTCACAGTTCTTAAAAGTTGAAAGAAAACTAAAACTTTCATTTCTTGACAAGTTTTTTCTAAACTCAATATTTTCAGACTTATAAGCTACTGAAAATATGTCTACAGTTACAAATCCAAAATTTCGAAAATTCATAACTCGAAAATTTGGGCGATTAAACAAAAATAAAAAAACACGTATTTCTTTTTTTTTCATATAGATTGAGAAAAAAATATGTTTAACCGAGGTGCTGTTCACTCTCGAATCCAAGATTCGTAAGGGAACGATTATTTACGAATACAAAGAAATCCGTGGAGAATCCGCCCGAATTTTAAGAAATCATAAGGATTCGCCTTTTACGAATCCAAGCGATTTCATGTGAATCCAAGATTCAGAGAATTCGTCACCTACGATTTCAGTCGATTCCATATGAATCCATGCAAATAATAATAAATTTTCAAATTATTGTTGAATTGGATTCTGAGTGATCAGCCCCTCGTGTTTAACCGAATTCTCAATGTCATAGGTAAATCTTGCGTGGAATTGCCCATATGTTGTTTAGTTAGAATGAAAATTTCGCCTCTCACAATTCCTCTACCAGGGAATTTGATGTTTTTTCTTGCTGCATACTAGGTATCTGTTTTTAAAAATTAAATATATAAAATTAAAATAAGGTTAATTAATTTACTTATTCGAAAAATTTGATTTATTATTTATTTATAATTTTAAATTTATTGTTTATTTATTTTCTAAGAGAATTGAACCATTACGACGTCATAGATTTAGAACACATGTTTTGCTTAAATTGTAACGTCATAAAATCTTTTTTATTTATAGTTTTTAAACAAAAATTTTACAATCTCAAAAATAAAATTCTAGATAAAATGATATAATGTTATAAATAAGTATAAAAATTACTTTTTATCTCCTTTGGTTGAAACAATTTTATATGAATATTTTTGGTTTTCTATCAAAACTCTCTGGTTCTCCATGTTGCTTTGTTGTATAAAAAACTGTTTATTTATTACCATGGTAACGATTAAAATAAATGAAAAGCTAACTTCACAGGAAATATTAACAATTCACACTGACACAAATTTAAAAATAATTAGAATTAGTATTACCTATTTAAATTTTTTTCATTCTAAATTTAATAAATAATATTGTAGTAATTCTAATTGTTTTTGAATTTGCACTATTTATTTATTAACAATTAAAATCCTTTTTTTGCTTTTCTGAATATTTAGATTAAAATTTTAAATTTAATGTTCAAAAATTTTTTTTAATTATGTAAAATTCATTATTATTAACGTTGAATGATAAATTGGTCAGTGAAAAGTCAGAGAAACTTGAAATTAAAATTTAACAAATATAATTTACAAATATTAGGGATTAGGGATTATAAATAAATGCATGTATTTCGAAATATGTCGATTTTATTAAAAACATTAAGAAAACAACAATTAAATTTAAAATTGATTTTTAAACTGAACAAATTGACAAAGGAAACTAATAAAAACTGAATTGATTGTGAACTTTTTAATAGAGTAAGTTCCATTTGCCAATATTCTTTTAGTATATTGAACAAATTGTTATTATTTCATTTCTGCAAATCAGGCAATTGTTCTTGCTGAAAAAAATCTGTTTTGCAATCGTCACAGATTGCTTTGTGCCCACATGGTATAAACGCAGATGTGAGTGGACAATCTTGGCAAATGCAACATATTCTATTATTGTTTGATTCATTTAGATTTTCCCCTTGATTTTCGACTTGGTTTTGCTGCTGGTTTTGCTTCTGATTTTCGAATTGGTTTTGCTCCTGATTTTCAACTTGGTTTTGCTCCTGGTTTTCGACTTGATTTTGCTTCTGATTTTCGACTTGGTTTCTCTGCTGGTTTTCGACTTAGTTATCATTATCCATTCCATCATCTTCGGAATCAGTCATCTGAAGATTTTCAATTATTTTTAATATTTACTGTTTCAGTAAAATTATTTAATACAATTAAAATGTTTGAAAATAAATTTTATAAAATTCTTCAAAGGCCTCGGATACCGACTATATTCAAACAATACGACTTTTTTCGACTTATTTTAAAAAATTACGACTTTCTCGACTTTTCTTCCGAATATTGCAATAATTTTTAGTATAAAATGCAACTTATTTTTGAATTCTACAATTAAAAAGAGTTTTAATAAATATTGAAATTTTGTAAAATTTAATTAAAAATAATTTATTTTTTAAAAAAATTTTTAAAATCAACATTTCAAGAATTTTAATTGCAAATTTTGAAAATAATTGAAATTAAATTCCTGGGAAGAATTTAATTTTTTTAAAAAAAATTTTTAATATATTTCCTAATATATTCGATTATTTTTATAAAAAGTAAAATTCTTTGCAGAAATTTAGTTATATTCAAAATATATTTAACTAAATTTCTCTTCTCGGAAGAATTCAAATATTTTCAAATATTTCCATTATATTCAATTATTTCCTAAAATTTTTTATAATTTCTTCGAAACAATTCAACTATTTTTATAAATTACTAAATAAATTTTCAAAATTTAGAATTAAAAAAAGTTTTAATAATTTAAATTTTGTAAAATTTAATTGGAAATAATCGATTTTTTTCAAAATGTTTGATAAAAATTTTTGAAAATAAACTTTAAAAGAATTTTAATGGCAAATTTTGAAAATAATTGATTTATAAAAAATTTTAAAGAAAAATCTTCAAGTGTGAATTTAAAAATGGTATTTAAGGTATTTGTCGCGTAAATTCGTTTTCGACAGAATTTTTTTAAATTTCACATAACTATTGTTTGGATATTTATCTACAAAATAAGGCCTATTAAAATAAAATTGACCGCCTGTACCCAAGTAACCTGTAAGTTTGCAGCAAACTTACACCACAAGATTTGCAATCTTACACGTAAGCTTGCTGCAAGTTTGCTGCAAGTACAAAAAGGTCCTACTTGCTGCAGGATTGCACAGCAAGCTTAGGACAAGCCAACACTGCAAGTTTCTTGAAAATTCCCAAATATTTAAGTATATAATATTAAGCAAATTATTTAATTTTTATTTATATTTTAATATATTTAATATTTATTTAAAATAAAATAATGGCAACAACGTTATAATAAAAATGTCATTAATTTCTCCAATCCACAGAATTGTAGTTATGTATTATCCGTGATCAGTGGATAATAGTAAAAAATTGTAAATGTCGTGGCAGACATTAATTATTGATATTATGATCTAAGATACTATTGTGAAGCACCTGTTTAGGGGACTGATACTTATACTCTCCGCGAGACAAGTCGTGCGCGAGAGAGGTATTTCTCGCCATCTATCAGGGAATTGGAAAAGTAATAGAAGTTTCTCTTATAATGCTCTAACTCCGTGATAGATGGCGAGAAATACCTCTCTCGCGCACGACTTGTCTCGCGGAGAGTATAAGTATCAGTCCCCTAAACAGGTGCTTCACAATAGTATCTTAGATCACAATATCAATAATTAATGTCTGCCACGACATTTACAATTTTTTACTATTATCCACTGATCACGGATAATAGTACACAACTACAATTCTGTGGATTGGAGAAATTAATGACATTTTTATTATAACGTTGTTGCCATTATTTTATTTTAAATAAATATTAAATATATTAAAATATAAATAAAAATTAAATAATTTGCTTAATATTATATACTTAAATATTTGGAAATTTTTAATAAACTTGCAGTGCTGGCTTGTCCATGTTGGACATTTTATTACTTGCAGCAAACTTGCATTAAGCTTACGTGTAAGATTGCAAATCTTGTGGTGTAAGTTTGCTGCAAACTTACAGGTTACTTGGGTAAGTCTGAAAAAATGAAATCAAAGTTTCGATTTTTAACATGTACGGTATAGGAAAACCATATGAAAACCACAGATTTTTAATTTTTGCACTTATACTAATCGACAGATTTTTTAGAAAAACTAAAGTTTTATTTATTGAACCAAAATGAACTTTTATAAAAAAAATGAAAATTTTTCACCGTCTTGTTTAAAAGATATTTAACATCAAACTTGAAAAATTATTTTAACATTTACTGTAAATGACAGGTGAATTTGTAAACGTGGCAATAGCGCTTGTTAAATACTACAGCTTGTCTGCTACTTTTGGCGCGAAATTTTAAAGACGGCCATACGCCAAACTTGCGACGTTGCCACGATCGTTTTTCATGCGAGAGGTTATGAATATACTTTGAGAACATCTGTGTGTCAAACTGTACGTCCGCAAAAGTTTTTCGGAATCTCGCATTCATAATCGTTTCATAAGTACAGTCAACGGATACAAACTTTTGACAGTGACCAGTCGCGCGACAAATACCTTAATGAAAATTAGCTACAAAAAATAATATTAAAATATTTTTGATAAAAATAATTTTTGGAATTTTTGCATTCTAATTTTTTAAAATTAAATTATTTTCATAATTCTCTAAGAACTTTCGGAAAATTATTAAAAATAATTGATTTCGAGAAGAAGTCTGATTAAAAATTGAAGAAAATAATTAAATTTCAAGAGAATTAAAGTTGTAATTTTTACAAGTTATTAAATTTCAGAAGGTTTTAAATAGAAATTTTTAAAAATATTATTTCCGTATAAAAACAAACCAGATTTATTTAAATATTTATTTAACGAAATTATTCATAATTAAATTTAGAAATCAGTGAAAGATCAGAAGAATAAAAAATAAAATTTTTGTGATGACACTGAATTAAATAAACGACTTTTTTTCTATTTTAAATCGACTAAAGCTACTTTTTTTTGTACCTTAAAGTCGATTCCAGGCCTTTTTTCATAAAAATTAAAATTTTTACAACAAATCAATTATTTTTAAAAATAAAAACATTATTTTCAAGAATTTAATTTTTTTTAAAGTATAATAAAATTGTAAAAAGAATTCAATTATTTTCATAAATAATAAAATTCACCGCATTGTTTTAATTATTTTTAAGAAAAATTTTGATAAAATTCTTTATAAGAATTCAATTTTAAAAATTATTCGATTATTTGATAAATTGTTAATTTTTGTATTCAAATGATTAAATTCTAATAATAATTGATTTAAAAATCAATACTTGAATCCTTATAGTATTAATTTTCAAAAATAATTAAATTTTAAAAGATTTTTTAATTGCAGTCTTTAAAAATTTTAATTATGGTAGACCCATTGTAATATTTAAATGTTGATTTAAATAAATTATTAATATTCTTAAAAATAATTATTACAGTTTTGAATATTTTCATTTAAAAAATCGACAAAATAGTGATTGACTTTTAAAAGAATCAGTTTTAATTTTTATAAATCCTTAAATTTTAAAAAAGATTTCCATTGAAATCATTTATACTTTATTTTATATTATAAATAAATTTTATATTATAAAGAATTTGTTTATAAACCAATTAACGATTTCAACGCCTAAAGAAGCTATATGTTAAGTAAAAATATATATCACACCTGCACTGAGAAAAATAGAGTTTAAAAAACTGGGAGTCAATATTGAAAAAACTGGACTCAGTCCAGTAAAAGTACATTAATTCATTTCCATCAAGCATCTTAGGGTGTTGCGTATAGTATATAGAGGGCCTTAGTTCCAAATGTCACTGTAAAGAGCATTGAAACACAGGCGAAGATTATAAGGCTGCTTAAATGCACTCTTTATATATTCATATTCCTTAATTCACAAGTTTTATTCTTCCCACATCTTCATACTTACAATTAACAACTAAATGCATCGGAAAATCTTACAATCATACGGGATTGAACACCTACCTAACCATACAACTAAATATACGCATAATTATAAATCGCATACGCTTTTACATTAAGCCTCTCGGCTACGCAATCGATGGGGGAAATTTCCTATTTAAGAAACATCCCTTACCAATGAAATAAATTAGATGATGCGTCGATTTTACTTTGTAATTGATGTAAGTATGGATGTCAACAATATTCATAATATTGAATTAATAATATTGTCAACTAGTTTAAATTTGATACGGTTATTAGAATTTAATAATAAATAAATAAAAAACATTAATTTTTTCTTAATAACCTTGAAACCTTTTTTAAGTTTGACAGTCCACATGGTAAATTTGATTATTCTTTTTTTCGTGTACAAAATAGTGAATTGACCTTGAATGAAATGTATAATTAATTATTCTCACAGCAATATTTAATAATTTAATGAACTTAACTGCACTGCATAATAGTTGATAGTAGTAAGAGTAAGTGAAACGGTAAGATAAGTGAACGACCATTAGTGTGAGAGAGAGAGAATAACTTGTGGTTTTCGAGTAGGTATCTACTTTATGTGCACGGCGTTCATTTTTCGAAAGAACTGGACTGAGTACTATTTGTTCAATATTCGCTTCTATTATTGACTTGTGTTTTGTACACTGCCGCGTTCTTGTAACAATTACATGAGAAAGAAATTTCTCATTCCAATTTTTTATACTCTTATTCCCTCTTAGACTATATAAACAGTCTTGTTTAAGCTGATGAATGGGATAACTTGTGTTGAGTCCCAAACTGTTCAGCTATGAAACTTCTAATACTATAGTGTGTACCTGTCACATATTATTCTATAAAGGAGTACTACACTGACTGCATAAATCATTTTTCCATTTTTCTCCATGTGATTAAAAATTTCATTATTGTTGATAAAGATTAATTCTTCCAATCTTTCGCGAATACAGATATTTGCAAATTGTTGCAGATAATCCTTATCTGGCTGTTGATTCGTGATTAATGTAAGATTTTTCCATAAGTTCTCGAGTTGACTGCTTTTCTTTTGCTGTACTATATTTGGTGTGACACGAAAATTATAGTAACCTTTTGTTCTCTTGTCGTAGTCCATCTTTAAACTGCACACGTATGTCGCCAAAGATTCTGAAAAATCAATTAAAAGTTTGTTACAATTTTTGTAGTTTTATATTTATATATTCAGTTAGAATAAAAATATTTACATTTATTTTTTTATTTATTTTTGAAAATTTTATATTTATGCAATTTCATTTAAATTAATTTCAATATTTAACTTACTTAAAAATGTCCAAATTTGGGGGCGATACCCAAACTTTTGCTGTATTTGATTTTTATAATATTCATTATAGTCTCCCATAGACTCAAAATTTTTATACACTGATAAAGTTGCAGGATTTTTTAATAACCAATCGTTGTTGTAGTAGTCACGAAAAGGCCGCAATGTTTCCAAGTTTTGCTCATTCAAATCTTGTTCGAGTTCATTGTATGCATTCTCCATTTTTTCTGGTGGGAGTAAGGGTAACGCCATCACCGACATTAAGAAATTACCAATTGCGTTAGGTTGGTTATTGTTTAGATTATTCGTCAAGTTAAGCTCCTGCATCTTTTGGTATAAAGACTGAAAAAGTAATAAAATTATGTCGTAAAAAAAGTAAATTTTAATAATTTATATAATAAATATTTGAGGAGCTTCAAAAGTTGATAAATCCACTTTTCAAAAAAAATTTAGATAAACATAAATTTAATATTTTAAGGACCTCCAAAATCGATCTGTCACTATTAAATTTAAAAAAAAATTTATTAACAACGAATTTTCAATTAAAAAACTTTTTGGTATAACCAAGATGACTTACAATTTTTATGTTTTTTATTAGAAAAAATTACCAAAATTAAATTTAAAATTACTTAATTGAAAATTTTAATTAATTTCTTTTTTGAGAATTTCTTTGAATATTTTTTAAAAATAATAAAATTTCTTTACTACTTTTAGTTAAATATTTTTTAAAAATAATTGAATTTACTTAAATTTTACAAAAATAATTGAATTATTGACAATAATTTGTATAAAGATAATAGAATATTGCCAAAAATTGTATTTAAATTTATAAAAATCGAGGGGGTAATTACTGGTTAAAATGGTGTACACTCTAATACACTAAACTTTCCTGCTATGACGCGTATTATCTAGTATTATAGGGTATTACAGAAATATTACAGGGTATTACTGATTATTACAGAATATTACCTCTATATTATGTGGTATTACACTGACGTAATAGTGCTCTATTGCACTCTATTACGTGAATATTATGGGAGGAGCGTACAAGCTAATACACAAGTAAATACCCCCTCGATAAAAATAATTGGTTTTTTTCACAGAAATTTTATTATTTATAAAAATAATTGAATATTTTCAAAAAATTTTATTACTCATAAAAATAATTAAATTTCTGGAAATAATTTCATTAACTACAAATATAATTGCATTTTTTAAATAATTTGACTATTTATGAACATAATTGAATTTTTTGTCAAGAAATTTTTTAAAATTCATGAAAATAATTGAAATTTTGCAAAAAAAATTTAATATTTCTCAGGAGAATTAAATTTTTCGACAAAAATTTGAATAAAATTCATGAAAATAATTGAATTTTTGCAAAGAATTTATTAAAATTTTTAAAAATAATTGTATTCATTCGTGAAATTTTTCATAACGAATTATGAAAAAAATTCGAATTCTTTCGTGAAATAAGTTTGAATATTATAATTGAATTCTTTTGAAATATTTTATAATGAATGAAGGAAAAAAATTGAATTCTTTTGTGACATTTTTTTGAAAATAATTAAATTTTTGTAAAGAAATTACCCGTGCAGAATTTAAAATGTGGGCCTGATAGGGTACTGGACAGTTTTCCCGATCTCTGGTGTGGCTCTGGGTAGAGAAACTGACCAGTGCCCGACTAGTGTGTGACGCTGTTCCCGATCAATGCCCTACTTAGGGAAAAACTGGTCAGGGCCTCGTCAGTTTTTCTTAAAATTGCCCTATTTTGTGAGGTTAATTTTATTCAAAAGAAATTACAATAAAATTACTGTAATTAAAAATATTATTATATATTAGAAACATAATGAACATATTCATTATATATACAACATATTTATACATAACATAATGAGGTATTATAGTCATTTTGACTAATTTAAAAGTGAAAATGATAAAAATAATATAATTTCAAGAATAGAAAAACTTAAAAAATTTTAAAAAATATAATTTTTGGTTTTATGATTAATTCATTTTTCTTTTGGAGGTTGTCGCTCCTTTCTGCCTCCTTAATTTTATAATATTAATAAAGGTTATAATTTTTGTTTTCAAATGTATAAGTTATAATTAATATTTATTTAATAAATATTTTATTCAAATTTATTAATTATGTTTAAAAAATAGTTATTAAATATTGAAGGTGTTAAATTTAACAATCTCTCCGAATCATTTTCTCACTTTAAGCTAATATAATATAAAATAATAATTATTATTATTAATATAATATATATACAAACCAAATGATAAATTCATCCTATAAATTAATAATTATTAAAATTCATTAAGTATAATTTATTAATAATTGTTTATTAATTATTTTTTTTAAATTCATAATTTTTATTTTTAAATAAATGTATAATAATTAATTATTTAATAACTATTATTATTCGTTATTTATAATTTAGTTGTTATTATTAATAAATAAACTTTATTATAATATTGTACTTAAAGAAAAAAAATTATATGTATTTTCGTTTTTTAAATATATTACCATAATTATTTTATAAAGTGTTTTAAAAGAACACGCTTTTTTTAACTTAAATAACTATTTTAAAAAAGTTAATTTTAAAAAATTAAATTTATTTACATGCTTTTAAAACGAGGAAAACTGTTAAGGCCCTGATCAGAGCCCTATTTCATATGTAGTGAACACCCCACTTAGGGTTTTGGCCAGAATTTCTGGTCAAACCCATAAGATAAAAAAATTCTTAAAAATGTAGTATAATTACTCCGTTTAATTAATTTCTTCAATTGTTTATAATTTTATTATGGGAACTAATTTAAAAAACTTAATTCATTTACACTTTATTCAAACGAGGAAAACTGTCGAGGCCCTGATCAGAGCCCTATATAATATCTAGTGAACACCTCACTTGGGGTTTTGGCAAGAAATTCTGGTCAAACCCACAAAATAAAAAAATTATTAAAACGATAGTATAATTCTGTGGAAGAAAGGCATAACAGCATAACTGCATTTGTCATGATTTCGAGATAAATTAATTTTAATGTTCTCTCACTTCTGTCAATTCAGAAAATCAACAGATTTGTTCGGTCTTTTGCATTTAGTATTATTATTTAATATATTTTCAAAATTCTTTTATAACATTTAATAAAACACACGATTTGATATAAATTCTGATCATTTTTTATCGGAATCATGAGTTTTATTGCACTTATGCGGTTATGCAAGTTCAGATTGTATATGAGTCCAACTTCAGATACTTTTAATGTCACAATTTATTTTGGTTTGATTTGTCATAATAAAAAAATTTTTCATACAAAGACAAATTAAACTATTAATTCGTTAGAAAAAATTATAAGGGTTTATTTAGTTATAAAATTTATTTTTTTATAAAATGTTTTTAATTTATTGAAACGAGAAAAAAAATTACTTTACTGTTCAACTAGAAGAATTTTTCAATTTATTTTTTGAAATACTTTCCAAAATTTTTTAGAATAGAAATACCCTTAAAAATAAGTACATGGTGGATTCCACGTCAGTTCAACATACTTATTTTCATGACTTGTTGGGATTTGGCTGTAATTTTGTAAATTCATTACTTTTACAGTGATAAACAACTCCACCAAATATTTTTTGAAAAGATTTTTCAACAATGTGGCTAATTTGAAAAAATTAAACGGATTTTAAAAGGTAAATAGAGACAATTTTATTTTGATTAAGGCAACTTGGAAATTTAAATATTATTTACAATATATACAAATGTTAAATCATTTTAACATAGAATAAAAATCATTTATTACAAAGAAGGTTTCTATTTTTTACGGGGGAAATTTCCGAGGTCTTACAGTTTTTCTTTATTTACCTTTTAAAATCCGTTTAATTTTTTCAAATTAGCCACATTGTTGACAAATTAAAAAAATTACAAAAAAGGTAACCTTTTACAATTGTTTCAAATCTGGGGTACCAAACCACCCCAATTTTTTCGTCAGTCTATAAAAAAATCATATTTTAGTTCTAGGGTTAATAAAAACTCGTACTTTCATTAAAATTCCATTTACAATCGTGCGGCATTAAAACTGAGCGCTACAGCGCTATGCGAGGATTTACGTTTTATTTTTTTTCTCAAAAACTACTAACTGTCCCACGATGAAAATTTCAGGACAAGTTCAACACATTTATGGCTACAAATGGTAAAAAAATGATCAAAATTGAAAATAGCATATTTTTTCTATGGCTTTTCAAAAAATTAAATTAATTTTTTAAACAAAAAATTTAAATAAGTTTTTTAATTTTAATTTTTTAAATAAAAGTATATTTCAATACGAACAAAGAGAGGTCATAAACTAAAATCCGTTAAGAAGAAGCAGAGTTATATATTTTTTTAAAAAAAAAGTACCGTAAACCGGGGCTATAAGGAACACCGGGGCTATAAGGAACAAAACTCTGTGTTCGGGTGGAGTTGAAGTTATCGGGGCCGTGTATGAATAAATTGTGTTACTTGCTTTTGAAAAATTGTTGCTGGGGTAACTGCCAATACTATTCAATGCAATAATTGCGACTATTAATAATTTTGTGAACAGTAGTAGCTTGTAAGTGAGTAATTGTGTTTTAGTGAAATTTCAAACTTGGGAAACATTTTATTGCCGAGGTAAGTTGTTCCTATTTTAACTTCTCAAAGTAATTTTTTTTTATTAAAGGGATTTATTATGGGAAGTTTTATTGAGTTCACTAAGTAATAAATACGTTTATTTTGTATTTACAGTAAGATTTACGAGAAAAAAACCAAAATTCACAAACGGCGGGTATATAAGGAACACAATTATTTCTTCCGAATTGTTAAAGTGTGTTGTTAAAACGTAAGTTTTTCGTAATTTCGTTTGTTTTTTATCACCTAATTTGGTTCTTAGTGTTCAAAGATGGTTCGAAATTGTAAAAGAGTGTTGGTACCGACAAGTCACAAAAAACGACCAGTTATCATCATCGACCTCAACTGATGATACCAGCAACGTTTAGTTTTGTTTTTACATTTGTTTTATATTCTGTGTTTACTTTCGATCAATAAAAAATAATTTCTTTAACTTTAAA